TGCTCCTGGTCACTGGGAACCTCCAATGGGAAACCCTGCTGTGGAACGCTGAGGTTGGCTTCTATATGCTTCAGTCCCAGAAACCAGACTTCTTTCACAGCCACTAGATGCCTTTGCAGGTGCCACCTATACCTCCAGGCTTGGGAAGGGTCCAGCACATGCCCTTTCATGCCTGCTGCCTGTTCATATCTGTCCGTGGAATAAACCATTGATTGGGTTAAAGCTCTCAGAACTGAATCATTTCACTGATAATCCTTGTATTGGCTCGCCCATGAGCTTCTGGGGACACCTACTACCTAAAGCACAACACATCTTCATCGAATAGCTTAGCAAGACCTTCTAGATGACTTGCAAGAGCTTCTACATCAGCACTTGTTTCTTTGCCTTGCACTTTTATTTTGTGGAGAGGGGCCTCTTGCCAAAAACATAATGGACCAAACTCTGGCACCTTCAAACTTCTTCTGCAGCTTTCTCACTTCTCTTGTCAGTATAACAATCTAAAGTGATGGCCTTATCTGGATTTGGCTTCATCTTCATAGAACGTGGGTTGTTTCTTCTTTTCTTCAGAATATAAAACGTTTTTCCAGATCAGCAATAAGGCTGTTCTTGCTTTCTAGTCATATACATATGTCCTGGAGCAGCACTTTAATTTCCTTCTTGAACATTTCCTTTGCATTCTCAGTGTGACAAAGTAGTGTAAGAGTCACAGCTTTTTATTTGAAGTACAAAACGTAAGAAGATTCTTCTTTTTATTCAAACAATACAGACCATTACTGAGTCATTAACGGTTCTAACTTCAATATTGTGTCTTGAAGAATAAGAGGATGGTGAGCCATGATCTGTGGAGCAATAAGAATGTACATATTAAGGTTTTTATCTTATATGAGTGGGATTTGTAGTGCCACATTGCCGCAGTCTGGCTGGGCACAAATGCCGCAGTCTGGCTGGGCACACAATCACGAGCCACCACACAGCTTGTAGATTCAAACAGCAACTCTTTATTCCCGAACTCACACCAGCCGTCTACAATCACGTTCTGGGGAAATCCACGTTCTCTTCCCAAATCCACGTTCTCTGCCCAAATCCACCTCCACTCGGCTTCTATCTCCAAAATATACTGTCTGAATCCCGTGAGAACTCAAGGGGAACTCAGGCAGCAGGATACGCCCTATTCCCAGCAGGACTAATCTTAAACCTTAAACCTGGAACCTAAACTGGGAACGCCCTAAACAAGATTATCTTAAAACCGGGAACACCCTAATCTGCCTTGGTCCTTGAGCAAGGTTAAGTACATTCAATGTCACTGCAACATGGGGTATGCTGGCAAGGAAATTGTCATACTTACTTGGCTAATGGCTCCCAGCATCTCCCCCCTTCTGATTAATTAAACAACAAGCAATGTGGCTTAAGGACCGTGCCTGGTAGGTTGTCCAATTCAACATATGGTTCTTACCCGTCATGGGAAAAACTGACCTTTAGGCGTCAGCCTCCTGTCTTAGGTTGATACCACTGCAATTGAATCATACCCGTCACTGACTACCGGTCCAGCATACAGCCATAGTTGTGGATAGGTCTATGCACCAGTGGGGGGGTGAGGTTCTTTGCCTCACCTCTGTTGGCCCCCAAATTTGGCCTTGGTGCCAGTGGGGGAGTGAGGTTAATGTGGCTTATGGACCGTGCCTGGTAGGTTGTCCAATTCAACATATGGTTCTTACCCGTCATCGGAAAACTGACCGTTAGGCGTCAGCCTCCTGTCTTAGGTTGATACCACTGCAATTGGATCATACCCGTCACTGACTACCGGTCCAGCATAAGCCATTGGCCCCCAAATTTTAGACCATCACTAGCAGAAGGGAGGAGGATACAGAAATGCCACGACACCAAGCCAATTGACGGCTCCTTGGGAAAAATTGCTCCATTGCAATGTTTAAAAACTCCACAGTCAAAAAATAAAACTGATCAGAAAAACATTAACCTAGGTTTGTATGAGCTCAAAAAATAAAAATAGAACCTTATGATGTGGAAAAATGCAATAATAAAATAGCTATTGAAAAAAGCATCCTGGTTAATCACTGTCGCAGATGTAAGAATGGCCAAGCTGGAGTTCTGGATATCAGCTGTTATGGATTTGAGTCAAATCATCTTCTTTTCGATCTGTAGAAACTGTTTTAGTTAATCTCTCTGGAATCCAAATGGGCTGCTGTTCTCCCTGTGGAAAAACACAAACAGACCCCCGACTCCAGACAATCACTGGGTCAGGACCTTTCCATTGTCCTGTTAGAATATCTTTCCAAAGTACTTTAGGCTTATGTACATTTTTTGGATACATATGCCTTTCCGCAGCACTAAGTCCTGATGAATCCAAATTTAAAAAGTTTAGAGTAAAAAGCGTTATTTTAAGTTTATCTTTGGGGGATATATACCCCTTTCAAATTCCCTCTTTTTGCTTTAATAAGTATATGTCTGTATCTAATAGTTGTCTAGCTTTTTGCATTTTTCTATCTGAAATACCTTACTTGACATTTTCAACCATTTTTTATCTTATTTCTATCTTCCAGTTTTTTTTTTTCCCCTAAGGTTTGTACATTCACCCTTAGTTGCTTTTTTTCCTTAGTTTTTTTGTTTCCTATTTTGTGGGTTTAAAATTCTTGCCTTTCTACATCTTTTTAATCTTCCTATATCTTTTTTATCTTTCTACATCTTCTCTCTTTTTTTTACCTTTCTGTATTTCTGTTTTTAAAGTTTTTCACTTTAAATTTTTAATCTTCTTTATCTAAATATCTTTTATCCTATTATCTTCCCATTTTTTTTAAGTAATGCCTTTAAGATTAACTAGACTTCGAATGATGCAATAAAGCAATCTTTTTTCCGCCATGAAGGTATCTCGACCACCTTCAATTTAACCTTTTAAAGCCTTCCAATTATCATCTATACTGTACTTTTAAATATACTTTTTCACCACCTACAACTTCACTCTTTTAAACGAGGCTTAGATTCTGTTTAAATCGCTTTAATGTTAGTTTACATGGCTGCCCTTCAACCAAAGGCTTTTTTTTTTTTTAACTCCATTGAGAAGCTTTGTCTCAATCTGCCATGTACAAATATCTTTTTCTTCTTTCTTTCTTTCTCAAGCTTTTAAATTAAGTCTAGTTTCCTCAAATTCTTTTTAAATGGCATTTTACAACTTTTTACTTTACCACACAGATTATATCATCTAGAATCATTTCTTTTTCCTTTAACCTTTTATATTAAAATATATTCCCACATCTTGAATCTTTTTATATCTCTTTTTTAACTGTTAACCCTTTTTATAAATTTACATTCTGAAACAACTCTTATAAAATTTCTGATTTAGACAAATTACTCCACTTTAATAAGATGAAAGACTTTCATGTTTTTTATGATACTATAATACTATAATTGAAACCCAACTGAAACTTCTTATACTCTTTGTATATAAATTACACATGATAGAATCTTAACTCTTAGTAACCTTGTTTTAGCAAAGACACAGACCAAAGCAATATTAAACCTTTTTCCATTCACCAATTTATGAAAACACACATAATGTTTAAATATATTACCTTATGGAACTTAATAAGTAAAGAGTACTTGATTTCATATTTAGTGGTTGATATTTTAACACTTTAGCTTTGTAAATTAATCAGATGTCTGTAAAAACCAAGATCTTAGACAAGTGTAGTAAACAGAACTAGCCATCTCTTTCTTGAAGAAAAATCCTTCTATAGGATACCATGATGGTCCCATTGATATACTTAATAACTCGTCTTTAAAAAGCCATGTGCTACATTTTTGTATTTTATCAACATATGCCTTAACTGTTCTTGGTCTTACTGGGGTGCCTCCTTTCTCTAACAATTTCTCTTCCTCGGAGGCGAACAACTTCAAACCTTGAGTCAACCATTTTCCCCAGTTTGCCTGAGAAAGTTCTAGGAACAGGCAACTTGAAATAAAAACAAAATAAATCAAAACAATAACACATTGTTTTTTGAAATGTTCACCCATTCTATCTCTCTTCCTCAAGGGTGAGAAATTTCACTTACCTCTAAGCTTCAGAAGTTCCCCGTACGGGCCACCAAATGCCGCAGTCTGGCTGGGCACAAATGCCGCAGTCTGGCTGGGCACACAATCACGAGCCACCACACAGCTTGTAGATTCAAACAGCAACTCTTTATTTTGGGAGAGAAGGTGGATTTGGGCAGAGAACGTGGATTTCCCCAGAACGTGATTGTAGACGGCTGGTGTGAGTTCGGGAATAAAGAGTTGCTGTTTGAATCTACAAGCTGTGTGGTGGCTCGTGATTTTGTGCCCAGCCAGACTGCGGCATTTGTGCCCAGCCAGACTGCGGCACCACATGACAGTTAAAATAGATCATAGTATGAGTTATAATGGCCTAAAATCTTCAACACTCATTAGGCAGTCCCTTCTGCTCCATAACAGGGGCATCTATCTCACCTCATCCTTCATGGCCTGTTTGCATCCTCTCTCACAGCACCTATGAGCTCTACATGGGCTCCGTCAGCAGATACGCAGTACTGGTGGTGGCACAGCCTGGTGAATGGATTAAGCACTTTTAGGTCAACATAAAAGAATGTCACTAAAAATACTTACAATGCCATAAGAATTAGCATCACAAAAAATAAAATAGATAATCTCAGAGGGGAGGGGAAGGATAGCTGTGCTGGGGGTTCTGGCACTGGGTAATGCTCAGGAGCTCACATGTGGGAGATGCCATTGAAAAGTTTAGAACTAGGGAAGTGAGGATACATTCTAGGAGATGTGGAGGGCTGTGGCCTAATAGTTTCTTGACCTCCTGCCTCTATTGTTTTGGACCCTGAATTTATATTGCTGCCAGGAAAGGTGGCTCTCTTTCAAAGGATGGGATGGCAGCTTGGAGCACCATATGTACTATCTATCTATCTATCTATCTATCTATCTATCTATATATCTATATATATACGTATATGTACATTATATATATATATATATATATATATATCAAGTGGAAGATAATAATGTTCAATATCCACTGACTTTCTTATTGGCAGCTAAGCTTCCTCCTCTTCTTGAAGGTTCAGTGGCCACGGGTGGCTCCATATCTTCCTGTGTGGTCAATGCTGGTGTAGGACCAACATATTTGGTGACACTCTAAAAAGAGTAAGGGATTGTAGATAGTGCTGTATGTGGGGGTGTGACAAGAGGTGGGGGATATCCCAGGAGGCTTGAACTATGTAGATTTAACTCAATGTAACTTTAAACAAATTTGAAAACAGCCTATAATTTCACAAGCGTGACCCAACATTGGCTTATGATCTTCCATATATTATTACTTCATCTAAAAAATGAAGTAAATTCAACCGCCTGCTCACAGGTCAGTTGCCTTCCAAAGGTGCACCTCTAAGTGGGTTGACTTTAATCTCAGAATATATTTCTGCATGGAAATCATGTCAAATGCCTTCCTGGCTCCCAAAGTTTAGGTACTGCTCAACAGCTTAATTTTACCCCTGGCTTATCCTCCTCACCAACTTTACTTTACCAGATGCAAACCCAAGGTTGTACCTAGTTCTGCACCCTGCTCAAGGTCACCCAGTTAAGAGGGATCTAAATCCAGCTCTACCCAATCTGAAGTCTTCACTTCTCCTCACACTACCCCTTAGCCAGACAAACTTGCTTACTTCTATTTTTCCTTTCTTGATAATCTCTTGGAAGAAGCCAGTGTTAGGCTAAATTTGGTAGATCTAGGAGGGTATTTTCCCAGTAGGCTATTTTTCCTACAAGTCCAGGTATGGCCATTCTGGCTGTCCCCAGCCTGCTGCAATGTACTGGGGCCTCACACCACTGCCCAGAGACCCTGTGCCCAGATGACCCTATGTCCAGGACACAGAGTCTCCTCAGGGAAGAGTGGAGGAGTAGGGGAAGGAGACACCATGGAAAGTTCAAGAGAAAGGACCAGAAGGTTCTTCCAGGGCTAGACTCCCAGAGCAGCCAGAGATCCCTCTCTATCTTGTCCTACAAGATCAGGTCTAGACCTGGCCAGCAGCTCCCAGGCTCTAACCCCACCCTCTCACCAGTGAGCTGGACCCACCTAGCCCCACCCACTGCCTGCTGTGAGGACTGCAGCCTTTATTTAAAGTGCTCACTTGTTTATTTGGATGAGTTCCCTGAGTTAGAGCCACAACTCCTCAAGGGTCCTGAGGACTGGTAGCTGGTCCTGGGGTGACAAAAGGCAGGCAGCATGCAGAGGAACTTGGTGAGGTGACTGTAATGGAGAATGATCAGTTTCCCAGCTCTTATACATCTTGAGCAGAGAAGCATCCTTGGGATCATTTCACTGCAATGGCACCATCATGAAATGGTGGCATATGGTGGCAAGAGCAGCATCCAGCTGTTTTGGGCATAGGGCATCAGGCCTCAAAAGTCAGGAGTTGAGTATTGGCATGGGGTGTGGGTGACTGTGGTGGTGTCAGCATGCAGCTGTGATTTGGGAGTTCCTTGCTTCCTACTCATGGTGGCGCTGACAGTGGAAGAATCCAGAAACAGTGGTTGTAACAACAGATGCATCCAGCCATGAGTGTTTTCATCTGCCATAGTGACAAGGGTCTGGCTGCAGTTGCAATGAAGTTGGCCCCAGTACTGAGTGTCACTGTCTAGTATCCATGTTAAAGTCTGGTGGCAGCAGGGTGTAGCTCCAGAGTCTGGCAGGGGCGGGAGCAACATGCAGCTGCATCAGGGGTCCAGCCTCAGTATAGGGGTTGGGCACCAGGTGTGGGGTGGGCAGTGTTGGAGTCCATCTGGAGTTTGGAAGTTTGAGTGCTGCACAATGGTGGTGGCACCATAAGAGTTCAGAAGCAGGGGCAGCAACAACAGGCAGTGTCCAGCAGTGAGAATCTTCATCCTGCAGAAGTAACTGGGGTCCGGCTGCAGGGCAGTGAAGGTGGCATCCAGTAGCCATGTGGGGAGTCTGGTTGGCCGCAGCGAAGAGCTCCAGGCTGGCATGTCAGCAAGGGCATGGGATAGTGGGTGTCAGAGTGAGAAGGTAACCGGTAGCTGGGATGTCCTCTGTGGTGGAGGCTCCAGGCCCTGGTCTTGCTCCTGGTCGACTGGCCTGCTCAGGAAGAAGCACGTGGGAGGCAGTGGTACCCAGGCAGCTGCCCGGGACCTTATGCTGCCCACATCTGCCATGTCTCGCTCTGGCCATGAGCCCACTGGATGTCTGCTCACCCCATCACCTGATATAGCCTCTCTACTGAGGAACTAGGCTGTCTGCTAGGTTGGGGCGGTCTTGGGAGAGAACCTCACCATACCCAGCCACATCCTGCATGGACTGTGGGTGCAGAAAGCAGAGGTCCTAGGACATCGTCACCCCCAAAGTGCATTTCTGTGGCTGGGGGTGGCAGAAGACCAAGACAGAGAACTCGTTGCCCTTAGACTCCCACTGCCACCTGTGCCCTCCACCCTTGTCCTGCCCCAGGGATGCACTTGGAGGGTGAGGATTTTCTAGGCCCCCCCACCTCCCACCTCTGCACTCTGCTACCACAGCCAAGGGGAGATGTAGCTGGGGAGGGTGGGTGTCTTCTCCCAAGGCTGCCCAGCTGGCAGCAGGCCTACTCATCCCTCAGAGGCTGCAACTCAGGGAGGGGCAGGGTGAACTCAAGGATTAGGTGAGCAGCCTGGTGGACTCCAGGCCAATGCCAGGCATTGGTGGAATGGGCAGCATAAGGTACTCAGCAGGTGTCTGGGTACCACCAGCTCCTGCGCCCTGCTTCGTGAGCAGGCAGGCCCTACCAGGAGCAATGCCAGTTGCCTGGAGGAGCCACTGCAGAGGCCATCACAGCCTCTAGTCGTCCTCTGACTCTGAGGCCTGCTGTCCCAAGCTTTCACCATCACCGCTAACAGAGCTCCACACTGCGGCCACTGGAGTCCCCACAGGGCCACCAGTGATGCCGCAGCCACCATCACTGCACTGGGACCAGACTCCTGCCACTACCAGAGGATGAGAATGCTCCTCTCTGGATGCCTGGCTTGACGTTGCCACCTACAGACTCCTTGGTTGCCTTTGCCACCGCTGCCATAACTGAACTTCAGACACCAATACCTCCACAGATTCCAAACGCCAAGGCTTCACTGCCCAGGCTCCTGCCCATGGCTGTCCTCCAAGCCTGAGGCCAATTCTCCATCCTGCCACTGATACATCTGGGCTCCTCAAACTGCCTTAAGACACCTAGGCTCGCTGTTTCACATTCTCCCCACACATGGATGCTGACACTGCTCCTGGTCACTGGGAACCTCCAATGGGAAACCCTGCTGTGGAACGCTGAGGTTGGCTTCTATATGCTTCAGTCCCAGAAACCAGACTTCTTTCACAGCCACTAGATGCCTTTGCAGGTGCCACCTATACCTCCAGGCTTGGGAAGGGTCCAGCACATGCCCTTCCATGCCTGCTGCCTGTTCATATCTGTCCGTGGAATAAACCATTGATTGGGTTAAAGCTCTCAGAACTGAATCATTTCACTGATAATCCTTGTATTGGCTCGCCCATGAGCTTCTGGGGACACCTACTACCTAAAGCACAACACATCTTCATCGAATAGCTTAGCAAGACCTTCTAGATGACTTGCAAGAGCTTCTACATCAGCACTTGTTTCTTTGCCTTGCACTTTTATTTTATGGAGAGGGGCCTCTTGCCAAAAACATAATGGACCAAACTCTGGCACCTTCAAACTTCTTCTGCAGCTTTCTCACTTCTCTTGTCAGTATAACAATCTAAAGTGATGGCCTTATCTGGATTTGGCTTCATCTTCATAGAACGTGGGTTGTTTCTTCTTTTCTTCAGAATATAAAAAGTTTTTCCAGATCAGCAATAAGGCTGTTCTTGCTTTCTAGTCATATACATATGCCCTGGAGCAGCACTTTAATTTCCTTCTTGAACATTTCCTTTGCATTCTCAGTGTGACAAAGTAGTGTAAGAGTCACAGCTTTTTATTTGAAGTGCAAAACGTAAGAAGACTCTTCTTTTTATTCAAACAATACAGACCATTACTGAGTCATTAACGGTTCTAACTTCAATATTGTGTCTTGAAGAATAAGAGGATGGTGAGCCATGATCTGTGGAGCAATAAGAATGTACATATTAAGGTTTTTATCTTATATGAGTGGGATTTGTAGTGCCACATGACAGTTAAAATAGATCATAGTATGAGTTATAATGGCCTAAAATCTTCAACACTCATTAGGCAGTCCCTTCTGCTCCATAACAGGGGCATCTATCTCACCTCATCCTTCATGGCCTGTTTGCATCCTCTCTCACAGCACCTATGAGCTCTACATGGGCTCCGTCAGCAGATACGCAGTACTGGTGGTGGCACAGCCTGGTGAATGGATTAAGCACTTTTAGGTCAACATAAAAGAATGTCACTAAAAATACTTACAATGCCATAAGAATTAGCATCACAAAAAATAAAATAGATAATCTCAGAGGGGAGGGGAAGGATAGCTGTGCTGGGGGTTCTGGCACTGGGTAATGCTCAGGAGCTCACATGTGGGAGATGCCATTGAAAAGTTTAGAACTAGGGAAGTGAGGATACATTCTAGGAGATGTGGAGGGCTGTGGCCTAATAGTTTCTTGACCTCCTGCCTCTATTGTTTTGGACCCTGAATTTATATTGCTGCCAGGAAAGGTGGCTCTCTTTCAAAGGATGGGATGGCAGCTTGGAGCACCATATGTACTATCTATCTATCTATCTATCTATCTATCTATATATCTATATATATATATATATATATATATATATATATATATATATATATATAGATATATATATATCAAGTGGAAGATAATAATGTTCAATATCCACTGACTTTCTTATTGGCAGCTAAGCTTCCTCCTCTTCTTGAAGGTTCAGTGGCCACGGGTGGCTCCATATCTTCCTGTGTGGTCAATGCTGGTGTAGGACCAACATATTTGGTGACACTCTAAAAAGAGTAAGGGATTGTAGATAGTGCTGTATGTGGGGGTGTGACAAGAGGTGGGGGATATCCCAGGAGGCTTGAACTATGTAGATTTAACTCAATGTAACTTTAAACAAATTTGAAAACAGCCTATAATTTCACAAGCGTGACCCAACATTGGCTTATGATCTTCCATATATTATTACTTCATCTAAAAAATGAAGTAAATTCAACCGCCTGCTCACAGGTCAGTTGCCTTCCAAAGGTGCACCTCTAAGTGGGTTGACTTTAATCTCAGAATATATTTCTGCATGGAAATCATGTCAAATGCCTTCCTGGCTCCCAAAGTTTAGGTACTGCTCAACAGCTTAATTTTACCCCTGGCTTATCCTCCTCACCAACTTTACTTTACCAGATGCAAACCCAAGGTTGTACCTAGTTCTGCACCCTGCTCAAGGTCACCCAGTTAAGAGGGATCTAAATCCAGCTCTACCCAATCTGAAGTCTTCACTTCTCCTCACACTACCCCTTAGCCAGACAAACTTGCTTACTTCTATTTTTCCTTTCTTGATAATCTCTTGGAAGAAGCCAGTGTTAGGCTAAATTTGGTAGATCTAGGAGGGTATTTTTCCTACAAGTCCAGGTATGGCCATTCTGGCTGTCCCCAGCCTGCTGCAATGTACTGGGGCCTCACACCACTGCCCAGAGACCCTGTGCCCAGATGACCCTATGTCCAGGACACAGAGTCTCCTCAGGGAAGAGTGGAGGAGTAGGGGAAGGAGACACCATGGAAAGTTCAAGAGAAAGGACCAGAAGGTTCTTCCAGGGCTAGACTCCCAGAGCAGCCAGAGATCCCTCTCTATCTTGTCCTACAAGATCAGGTCTAGACCTGGCCAGCAGCTCCCAGGCTCTAACCCCACCCTCTCACCAGTGAGCTGGACCCACCTAGCCCCACCCACTGCCTGCTGTGAGGACTGCAGCCTTTATTTAAAGTGCTCACTTGTTTATTTGGATGAGTTCCCTGAGTTAGAGCCACAACTCCTCAAGGGTCCTGAGGACTGGTAGCTGGTCCTGGGGTGACAAAAGGCAGGCAGCATGCAGAGGAACTTGGTGAGGTGACTGTAATGGAGAATGATCAGTTTCCCAGCTCTTATACATCTTGAGCAGAGAAGCATCCTTGGGATCATTTCACTGCAATGGCACCATCATGAAATGGTGGCATATGGTGGCAAGAGCAGCATCCAGCTGTTTTGGGCATAGGGCATCAGGCCTCAAAAGTCAGGAGTTGAGTATTGGCATGGGGTGTGGGTGACTGTGGTGGTGTCAGCATGCAGCTGTGATTTGGGAGTTCCTTGCTTCCTACTCATGGTGGCGCTGACAGTGGAAGAATCCAGAAACAGTGGTTGTAACAACAGATGCATCCAGCCATGAGTGTTTTCATCTGCCATAGTGACAAGGGTCTGGCTGCAGTTGCAATGAAGTTGGCCCCAGTACTGAGTGTCACTGTCTAGTATCCATGTTAAAGTCTGGTGGCAGCAGGGTGTAGCTCCAGAGTCTGGCAGGGGCGGGAGCAACATGCAGCTGCATCAGGGGTCCAGCCTCAGTATAGGGGTTGGGCACCAGGTGTGGGGTGGGCAGTGTTGGAGTCCATCTGGAGTTTGGAAGTTTGAGTGCTGCACAATGGTGGTGGCACCATAAGAGTTCAGAAGCAGGGGCAGCAACAACAGGCAGTGTCCAGCAGTGAGAATCTTCATCCTGCAGAAGTAACTGGGGTCCGGCTGCAGGGCAGTGAAGGTGGCATCCAGTAGCCATGTGGGGAGTCTGGTTGGCCGCAGCGAAGAGCTCCAGGCTGGCATGTCAGCAAGGGCATGGGATAGTGGGTGTCAGAGTGAGAAGGTAACCGGTAGCTGGGATGTCCTCTGTGGTGGAGGCTCCAGGCCCTGGTCTTGCTCCTGGTCGACTGGCCTGCTCAGGAAGAAGCACGTGGGAGGCAGTGGTACCCAGGCAGCTGCCCGGGACCTTATGCTGCCCACATCTGCCATGTCTCGCTCTGGCCATGAGCCCACTGGATGTCTGCTCACCCCATCACCTGATATAGCCTCTCTACTGAGGAACTAGGCTGTCTGCTAGGTTGGGGCGGTCTTGGGAGAGAACCTCACCATACCCAGCCACATCCTGCATGGACTGTGGGTGCAGAAAGCAGAGGTCCTAGGACATCGTCACCCCCAAAGTGCATTTCTGTGGCTGGGGGTGGCAGAAGACCAAGACAGAGAACTCGTTGCCCTTAGACTCCCACTGCCACCTGTGCCCTCCACCCTTGTCCTGCCCCAGGGATGCACTTGGAGGGTGAGGATTTTCTAGGCCCCCCCACCTCCCACCTCTGCACTCTGCTACCACAGCCAAGGGGAGATGTAGCTGGGGAGGGTGGGTGTCTTCTCCCAAGGCTGCCCAGCTGGCAGCAGGCCTACTCATCCCTCAGAGGCTGCAACTCAGGGAGGGGCAGGGTGAACTCAAGGATTAGGTGAGCAGCCTGGTGGACTCCAGGCCAATGCCAGGCATTGGTGGAATGGGCAGCATAAGGTACTCAGCAGGTGTCTGGGTACCACCAGCTCCTGCGCCCTGCTTCGTGAGCAGGCAGGCCCTACCAGGAGCAATGCCAGTTGCCTGGAGGAGCCACTGCAGAGGCCATCACAGCCTCTAGTCGTCCTCTGACTCGGAGGCCTGCTGTCCCAAGCTTTCACCATCACCGCTAACAGAGCTCCACACTGCGGCCACTGGAGTCCCCACAGGGCCACCAGTGATGCCGCAGCCACCATCACTGCACTGGGACCAGACTCCTGCCACTACCAGAGGATGAGAATGCTCCTCTCTGGATGCCTGGCTTGACGTTGCCACCTACAGACTCCTTGGTTGCCTTTGCCACCGCTGCCATAACTGAACTTCAGACACCAATACCTCCACAGATTCCAAACGCCAAGGCTTCACTGCCCAGGCTCCTGCCCATGGCTGTCCTCCAAGCCTGAGGCCAATTCTCCATCCTGCCACTGATACATCTGGGCTCCTCAAACTGCCTTAAGACACCTAGGCTCGCTGTTTCACATTCTCCCCACAGATGGATGCTGACACTGCTCCTGGTCACTGGGAACCTCCAATGGGAAACCCTGCTGTGGAACGCTGAGGTTGGCTTCTATATGCTTCAGTCCCAGAAACCAGACTTCTTTCACAGCCACTAGATGCCTTTGCAGGTGCCACCTATACCTCCAGGCTTGGGAAGGGTCCAGCACATGCCCTTCCATGCCTGCTGCCTGTTCATATCTGTCCGTGGAATAAACCATTGATTGGGTTAAAGCTCTCAGAACTGAATCATTTCACTGATAATCCTTGTATTGGCTCGCCCATGAGCTTCTGGGGACACCTACTACCTAAAGCACAACACATCTTCATCGAATAGCTTAGCAAGACCTTCTAGATGACTTGCAAGAGCTTCTACATCAGCACTTGTTTCTTTGCCTTGCACTTTTATTTTATGGAGAGGGGCCTCTTGCCAAAAACATAATGGACCAAACTCTGGCACCTTCAAACTTCTTCTGCAGCTTTCTCACTTCTCTTGTCAGTATAACAATCTAAAGTGATGGCCTTATCTGGATTTGGCTTCATCTTCATAGAACGTGGGTTGTTTCTTCTTTTCTTCAGAATATAAAAAGTTTTTCCAGATCAGCAATAAGGCTGTTCTTGCTTTCTAGTCATATACATATGCCCTGGAGCAGCACTTTAATTTCCTTCTTGAACATTTCCTTTGCATTCTCAGTGTGACAAAGTAGTGTAAGAGTCACAGCTTTTTATTTGAAGTGCAAAACGTAAGAAGACTCTTCTTTTTATTCAAACAATACAGACCATTACTGAGTCATTAACGGTTCTAACTTCAATATTGTGTCTTGAAGAATAAGAGGATGGTGAGCCATGATCTGTGGAGCAATAAGAATGTACATATTAAGGTTTTTATCTTATATGAGTGGGATTTGTAGTGCCACATGACAGTTAAAATAGATCATAGTATGAGTTATAATGGCCTAAAATCTTCAACACTCATTAGGCAGTCCCTTCTGCTCCATAACAGGGGCATCTATCTCACCTCATCCTTCATGGCCTGTTTGCATCCTCTCTCACAGCACCTATGAGCTCTACATGGGCTCCGTCAGCAGATACGCAGTACTGGTGGTGGCACAGCCTGGTGAATGGATTAAGCACTTTTAGGTCAACATAAAAGAATGTCACTAAAAATACTTACAATGCCATAAGAATTAGCATCACAAAAAATAAAATAGATAATCTCAGAGGGGAGGGGAAGGATAGCTGTGCTGGGGGTTCTGGCACTGGGTAATGCTCAGGAGCTCACATGTGGGAGATGCCATTGAAAAGTTTAGAACTAGGGAAGTGAGGATACATTCTAGGAGATGTGGAGGGCTGTGGCCTAATAGTTTCTTGACCTCCTGCCTCTATTGTTTTGGACCCTGAATTTATATTGCTGCCAGGAAAGGTGGCTCTCTTTCAAAGGATGGGATGGCAGCTTGGAGCACCATATGTACTATCTATCTATCTATCTATCTATCTATCTATCTATATATATATATATATATATATATATATATACATATATATATATATAGAGAGAGAGAGAGAGAGAGATCAAGTGGAAGATAATAATGTTCAATATCCACTGACTTTCTTATTGGCAGCTAAGCTTCCTCCTCTTCTTGAAGGTTCAGTGGCCACGGGTGGCTCCATATCTTCCTGTGTGGTCAATGCTGGTGTAGGACCAACATATTTGGTGACACTCTAAAAAGAGTAAGGGATTGTAGATAGTGCTGTATGTGGGGGTGTGACAAGAGGTGGGGGATATCCCAGGAGGCTTGAACTATGTAGATTTAACTCAATGTAACTTTAAACAAATTTGAAAACAGCCTATAATTTCACAAGCGTGACCCAACATTGGCTTATGATCTTCCATATATTATTACTTCATCTAAAAAATGAAGTAAATTCAACCGCCTGCCTCACAGGTCAGTTGCCTTCCAAAGGTGCACCTCTAAGTGGGTTGACTTTAATCTCAGAATATATTTCTGCATGGAAATCATGTCAAATGCCTTCCTGGCTCCCAAAGTTTAGGTACTGCTCAACAGCTTAATTTTACCCCTGGCTTATCCTCCTCACCAACTTTACTTTACCAGATGCAAACCCAAGGTTGTACCTAGTTCTGCACCCTGCTCAAGGTCACCCAGTTAAGAGGGATCTAAATCCAGCTCTACCCAATCTGAAGTCTTCACTTCTCCTCCCACTACCCCTTAGCCAGACAAACTTGCTTACTTCTATTTTTCCTTTCTTGATAATCTCTTGGAAGAAGCCAGTGTTAGGCTAAATTTGGTAGATCTAGGAGGGTATTTTTCCTACAAGTCCAGGTATGGCCATTCTGGCTGTCCCCAGCCTGCTGCAATGTACTGGGGCCTCACACCACTGCCCAGAGACCCTGTGCCCAGATGACCCTATGTCCAGGACACAGAGTCTCCTCAGGGAAGAGTGGAGGAGTAGGGGAAGGAGACACCATGGAAAGTTCAAGAGAAAGGACCAGAAGGTTCTTCCAGGGCTAGACTCCCAGAGCAGCCAGAGATCCCTCTCTATCTTGTCCTACAAGATCAGGTCTAGACCTGGCCAGCAGCTCCCAGGCTCTAACCCCACCCTCTCACCAGTGAGCTGGACCCACCTAGCCCCACCCACTGCCTGCTGTGAGGACTGCAGCCTTTATTTAAAGTGCTCACTTGTTTATTTGGATGAGTTCCCTGAGTTAGAGCCACAACTCCTCAAGGGTCCTGAGGACTGGTAGCTGGTCCTGGGGTGACAAAAGGCAGGCAGCATGCAGAGGAACTTGGTGAGGTGACTGTAATGGAGAATGATCAGTTTCCCAGCTCTTATACATCTTGAGCAGAGAAGCATCCTTGGGATCATTTCACTGCAATGGCACCATCATGAAATGGTGGCATATGGTGGCAAGAGCAGCATCCAGCTGTTTTGGGCATAGGGCATCAGGCCTCAAAAGTCAGGAGTTGAGTATTGGCATGGGGTGTGGGTGACTGTGGTGGTGTCAGCATGCAGCTGTGATTTGGGAGTTCCTTGCTTCCTACTCATGGTGGCGCTGACAGTGGAAGAATCCAGAAACAGTGGTTGTAACAACAGATGCATCCAGCCATGAGTGTTTTCATCTGCCATAGTGACAAGGGTCTGGCTGCAGTTGCAATGAAGTTGGCCCCAGTACTGAGTGTCACTGTCTAGTATCCATGTTAAAGTCTGGTGGCAGCAGGGTGTAGCTCCAGAGTCTGGCAGGGGCGGGAGCAACATGCAGCTGCATCAGGGGTCCAGCCTCAGTATAGGGGTTGGGCACCAGGTGTGGGGTGGGCAGTGTTGGAGTCCATCTGGAGTTTGGAAGTTTGAGTGCTGCACAATGGTGGTGGCACCATAAGAGTTCAGAAGCAGGGGCAGCAACAACAGGCAGTGTCCAGCAGTGAGAATCTTCATCCTGCAGAAGTAACTGGGGTCCGGCTGCAGGGCAGTGAAGGTGGCATCCAGTAGCCATGTGGGGAGTCTGGTTGGCCGCAGCGAAGAGCTCCAGGCTGGCATGTCAGCAAGGGCATGGGATAGTGGGTGTCAGAGTGAGAAGGTAACCGGTAGCTGGGATGTCCTCTGTGGTGGAGGCTCCAGGCCCTGGTCTTGCTCCTGGTCGACTGGCCTGCTCAGGAAGAAGCACGTGGGAGGCAGTGGTACCCAGGCAGCTGCCCGGGACCTTATGCTGCCCACATCTGCCATGTCTCGCTCTGGCCATGAGCCCACTGGATGTCTGCTCACCCCATCACCTGATATAGCCTCTCTACTGAGGAACTAGGCTGTCTGCTAGGTTGGGGCGGTCTTGGGAGAGAACCTCACCATACCCAGCCACATCCTGCATGGACTGTGGGTGCAGAAAGCAGAGGTCCTAGGACATCGTCACCCCCAAAGTGCATTTCTGTGGCTGGGGGTGGCAGAAGACCAAGACAGAGAACTCGTTGCCCTTAGACTCCCACTGCCACCTGTGCCCTCCACCCTTGTCCTGCCCCAGGGATGCACTTGGAGGGTGAGGATTTTCTAGGCCCCCCCACCTCCCACCTCTGCACTCTGCTACCACAGCCAAGGGGAGATGTAGCTGGGGAGGGTGGGTGTCTTCTCCCAAGGCTGCCCAGCTGGCAGCAGGCCTACTCATCCCTCAGAGGCTGCAACTCAGGGAGGGGCAGGGTGAACTCAAGGATTAGGTGAGCAGCCTGGTGGACTCCAGGCCAATGCCAGGCATTGGTGGAATGGGCAGCATAAGGTACTCAGCAGGTGTCTGGGTACCACCAGCTCCTGCGCCCTGCTTCGTGAGCAGGCAGGCCCTACCAGGAGCAATGCCAGTTGCCTGGAGGAGCCACTGCAGAGGCCATCACAGCCTCTAGTCGTCCTCTGACTCGGAGGCCTGCTGTCCCAAGCTTTCACCATCACCGCTAACAGAGCTCCACACTGCGGCCACTGGAGTCCCCACAGGGCCACCAGTGATGCCGCAGCCACCATCACTGCACTGGGACCAGACTCCTGCCACTACCAGAGGATGAGAATGCTCCTCTCTGGATGCCTGGCTTGACGTTGCCACCTACAGACTCCTTGGTTGCCTTTGCCACCGCTGCCATAACTGAACTTCAGACACCAATACCTCCACAGATTCCAAACGCCAAGGCTTCACTGCCCAGGCTCCTGCCCATGGCTGTCCTCCAAGCCTGAGGCCAATTCTCCATCCTGCCACTGATACATCTGGGCTCCTCAAACTGCCTTAAGACACCTAGGCTCGCTGTTTGACATTCTCCCCACAGATGGATGCTGACACTGCTCCTGGTCACTGGGAACCTCCAATGGGAAACCCTGCTGTGGAACGCTGAGGTTGGCTTCTATATGCTTCAGTCCCAGAAACCAGACTTCTTTCACAGCCACTAGATGCCTTTGCAGGTGCCACCTATACCTCCAGGCTTGGGAAGGGTCCAGCACATGCCCTTCCATGCCTGCTGCCTGTTCATATCTGTCCGTGGAATAAACCATTGATTGGGTTAAAGCTCTCAGAACTGAATCATTTCACTGATAATCCTTGTATTGGCTCGCCCATGAGCTTCTGGGGACACCTACTACCTAAAGCACAACACATCTTCATCGAATAGCTTAGCAAGACCTTCTAGATGACTTGCAAGAGCTTCTACATCAGCACTTGTTTCTTTGCCTTGCACTTTTATTTTATGGAGAGGGGCCTCTTGCCAAAAACATAATGGACCAAACTCTGGCACCTTCAAACTTCTTCTGCAGCTTTCTCACTTCTCTTGTCAGTATAACAATCTAAAGTGATGGCCTTATCTGGATTTGGCTTCATCTTCATAGAACGTGGGTTGTTTCTTCTTTTCTTCAGAATATAAAAAGTTTTTCCAGATCAGCAATAAGGCTGTTCTTGCTTTCTAGTCATATACATATGCCCTGGAGCAGCACTTTAATTTCCTTCTTGAACATTTCCTTTGCATTCTCAGTGTGACAAAGTAGTGTAAGAGTCACAGCTTTTTATTTGAAGTGCAAAACGTAAGAAGACTCTTCTTTTTATTCAAACAATACAGACCATTACTGAGTCATTAACGGTTCTAACTTCAATATTGTGTCTTGAAGAATAAGAGGATGGTGAGCCATGATCTGTGGAGCAATAAGAATGTACATATTAAGGTTTTTATCTTATATGAGTGGGATTTGTAGTGCCACATGACAGTTAAAATAGATCATAGTATGAGTTATAATGGCCTAAAATCTTCAACACTCATTAGGCAGTCCCTTCTGCTCCATAACAGGGGCATCTATCTCACCTCATCCTTCATGGCCTGTTTGCATCCTCTCTCACAGCACCTATGAGCTCTACATGGGCTCCGTCAGCAGATACGCAGTACTGGTGGTGGCACAGCCTGGTGAATGGATTAAGCACTTTTAGGTCAACATAAAAGAATGTCACTAAAAATACTTACAATGCCATAAGAATTAGCATCACAAAAAATAAAATAGATAATCTCAGAGGGGAGGGGAAGGATAGCTGTGCTGGGGGTTCTGGCACTGGGTAATGCTCAGGAGCTCACATGTGGGAGATGCCATTGAAAAGTTTAGAACTAGGGAAGTGAGGATACATTCTAGGAGATGTGGAGGGCTGTGGCCTAATAGTTTCTTGACCTCCTGCCTCTATTGTTTTGGACCCTGAATTTATATTGCTGCCAGGAAAGGTGGCTCTCTTTCAAAGGATGGGATGGCAGCTTGGAGCACCATATGTACTATCTATCTATCTATCTATCTATCTATCTATCTATATATATATATATATATATATATATATATATGTATATCTATATATATATATATATATATATATATATAGAGAGAGAGAGAGAGAGAGAGAGATATCAAGTGGAAGATAATAATGTTCAATATCCACTGACTTTCTTATTGGCAGCTAAGCTTCCTCCTCTTCTTGAAGGTTCAGTGGCCACGGGTGGCTCCATATCTTCCTGTGTGGTCAATGCTGGTGTAGGACCAACCTCTGATTTTGAGGGCTATTTCTCCTCCTTCACAGGGAATGTGATAGCATGCTCCCCCAAATGTAAGCAAGTAAATTGGGCCACAGCTGCTCGAGGCAATTATATCACTTGATATGGTGCTAGAGCTGCAAGAGAAAACACCCAACGTGACTGAATTTCCTTGGGCCTTTCACAATTCACCCCAGAACCCTGCCTCTGAGAATACTCCTGGCCCTCCTCCACAATTGGCCATCTTCCCAGACTAGGTTCCACCAGCTGAAGGATGTTAGCATTGTGTGTCTTGGGAACATATGGCAGATCCCAGGGGAACCAGCTGAGATTCCTCTGCACACACCATCAGTCATCTGCCCCAGACCCCATCATCAGAGAGCTCAGACTTACAGGATCTGTGTTCTTCAGCTGGGGAAGGACATGGAAGTTCCCCTCTGATTCAGGCATAATGACAAACAGGAAGGTCCTGAAAAGCTTCAGGTTGTCCAAGTCTTGGGACCTCAAAAATATTCTGGATAGAGGTACAGCTGCATTTTGATGATTGAGCAGAGGGTTCTGTGGAATGTGGAGTGAAACAGGGAGTCATGATGGACAGGGCCTCTCTTTTAACTGGAACCTCCCAAGGTCCCTGCATCATGGGTTCCCAAAGAGTAGCCAGGCAGTTCCATGCACCCGATCAAAAGGGCAACCTGTGAGGCACATATGTGTGTAAGCGGCTCCCCACACTTGCTCTCCGGTCTCTGTACAAAAAAGCATGGGCAACCCAGGTTTGGATTGGCGGTGTTGGGGAGGGTTCCTCACAGGGCTTGGCTCTGAGGCCCCAACCAATACTCTGTTCCTTTGGTGCCCAGAATCAAATGCACCACCATATGTTCTTTCTACGGGGTAAACCCCCAGAGTTGAGTCCTCTGCTGGAAATCACACAGGGTGGAAATTGGGGTTTGCCCAGCCATCATTTATAACAGCTCCCCATGAAACAGGAGCCCTCCTGACTAGCCCAAAGACCACTCCCTTCTTTCCTTGAAGCTACTCCTCACAAACATCTGGCTGCAGGTTTCTATACCTAGAGATGGTGAGGAGGCTGACACCTCTAACATCCTGTGCCCCTCATCTGCCAAGATGGCTGGTGGGCTTGACTAACTTCCTGACAATATTGGAACTCCAGGAGGACTAGAAGGTTTGTCTGCATTGATTCCTAAATAATAGGCCAAATGATGGCCCATGGTGGTGCTACACATACACTTGAGTGATGACTGAGCCAAGCCACCTACTGCCTAGCTATTCAGAGCCAGGACCCTATTCGTTTCTCCCCAAGTGTCCCAGTTCTGACTACATGCAGGTTGGAATGCTCCCAGATGCAATCCACAGACTCCAAATTTGGAAATTGTTTTTTCCTGAAGCCTCAGAATTGTAAGGCCTGAGGCAGAGAACTTTCTCACAGGGAGGGGATATGCCCACAGGGTAAGGCCAGAGGCACAGGCTGCCTATAGTTACACAGAACCAGGCCTGAGGCAGACACTCTTTGGGCTCATCCTACTCGGTTTTCTAAACATCCAGGCAGGCTGCTCCTCTGAAAACACTACTTTCCCCAGAGCTGACTGAGTTCCCAGAATTCCCAGCACCAAGCAGGAGATGGCCATGTGCCAGGGCATGGAAGCAATACACATCTTTTACACAGCAGCTCCAGCACCTTCTGAGGAATGTCCAAATTTTGGAGGAATACAGTCCCTTTCAAGAATTGAAGACAGTAGCTGCTGCATAGTAAGTGTGCATACATTGGTTTTAGTAGCACCACCTACCACTGTGTTTCTGGCCCATGCTCAGGGATATGGTTTCTTCAACTCTTCATGGTAACTCAATGAGATGGGTATATCCCCCCTCTATAGATGAGGAAACTGAGTCATGGTCAGATGAAATGACTTGCCACAGAATACTCAGCTAGAAGTGCCAGAGTGGGAATTCAAATCCAGGCTGTCCCACACCAAGTCTTGAAGAGAGTACCGTTATTCACTCATAAAACAAACCCCTAAGGGTGCCGCCTGGAATTGAGTGCTTCCTGTGTAAGCCCAAAGATTCATAGTACCATGCAATGTAGGTGTCACTTTTACCATTCCCAGGTTTCCAATGAGGCTGCTGACCTGGGAAGGCAAGGCCCATCAGGCCTGTGAGGAGACTGCACTTTGCATCAGTGAAGCTCCACATGGATTCAGGTTGCTCTGTCCTGGTGGCCAATGCACCTGCTTCCTCAGATCACAGCCAGTAAACGTCATGGTCTTGGCCAAAGGTGGGTTCATGTCATTCTACAACTGTTCATTCCCACAGAATGTACATCAGCAAGAGTAAAGAATAAGGTAAGTTCCAGACTGTAGGTGACAATGATGTTGGTTTTTGAACTGGAAAAAATGTGCCTCTCTGGTGGGTAGTGATGGGGACAGAGGCAGAGACTGTGCAAGGATGGGAGCATTTGGGAAATCTCTGATCTTCCCCTCAATTTTGAGCTTAAAAATGTTCTAAAAAGTTATCAAGTAAAAAACAAGAGGAGGAAGAAGTGTGCTTTATCACTGCACTGGGAGAGGCTGAGGGCAGGCAACCAGAGCTTGGGGCAAACAGACCCAGCACCTCCTTCCCAACCTGCCTCTCTCCAAGCTCAGCACAGCATGGCCTTCAAGGGGCTTCAGGGTCTTTATAGAGAAGCTGTCTGATGGTGACAGCTCAGAAGCCCTGCCTGACACCTTCTCAGAAGGCCTTGATGGGAGACTCAGATTTAGGGTGGCCCACCTCTCCCTCTCTGTCCCTGGGCTGTCCCTACTTATCTCCATTCCACCCCTGCTCCCTCAGAGGCTGCCAGCTGCTTGCTGCCTGATCACCTTTAAGCTGCCCTTCCCACTTCTTGGCCCAGCAGCTCCTGTCCATCAATATGCTCTCAGCTCTCATGACACTTCCTCTGAGAAGCCCATTCTGACTGCCACCTAGGAACACCCTGACCCTCTCTCTCCTCTGTTTCCTCAACCATTTCTGAATTCATCCTATTTCTTCATCAGTTTACTTGTCCTTGCTCAGTCTCTCCTTCTAGACTGTGGGCTCCAAGAGGGTAGGGGGCCTTCCTTGTGCTCACTGTTGTCTCCCCAGCTCCCCCAGGATTGGAAAGGAGGGCTTGGGAGCTGTGGAAAAGTCATAGGGTGAGGATATAATGAGAAGTGGGTCAACTGCAACCTGAGGGAGGGCCCTCACCATATCCTGCCATCCTGGTCCCCTGATCTTGGCCTGCCAGCCTCCAGATCTGTGAGAAATCAGTTTCTGATGTTTCAAAGCCACACAGTTGAAGGTCGTAGTTACAACTGCCTCCACTGATTCAGACCTGGGCAATGTGAGCCAGGCTTGGGTACTGCACTCTGGACACTTGGAAGTACCCAGGAAAGCTGAGGATGCTCTCTCCATGCAGCAAGTTGGTGTCTGTTTGTACAATATCAGGGTCTGCTCACCTGATCCAGTGGACACCTGGCAAATAGTAAGCCTGCAGGCAGCACTTAGGACGAAAGAGAGGCACAGGGGCAAAATCAGCCACCTCTACTGCAAGGGGCTGTGTTCTAAATGCAGCTGCTCTCACCCCTTCAGTGGGGACATCTGTGGCTTGCCTGCTTGGCTTTCATCTCCCTGTCTCGTCATTTACCCTTGAATATTTTTGGTGACTCTTTTCTTTCTCTCACACAATGATTCAGCCCCTCCAGGCTTGACCACTGAGATCAATCCATCCCACCATGATGGGCAGAAAGAAGCAGTGACCCAGGCTGGCCCATGACATTCACTATCATCTTAGGACACTGTCTTTTCCTCCAATACCAAACTAGAAGATTGTGTCTCTAAAGCTGCTGGGCAACATGCCACCACCCCCAGAGACAGGGTGGGCAAAGAAGGCTTGCAGGGAGATGGAGAGAGGCAGTGTCCTGATGATGACACTGCAACCTCTGGATAAAGCTGTGCCTGAATCTGTTGTGTTCAGCCCACAATTCCCAAATATGTGAAACAAAGCAATCCACTTGTCAGTCTTTCTTTCTCCTGTAAAGTTATGCTTGTTTACTTATTGATCTAGCGAACATTGTTAGGGTTTATCCAATTTGAAAGGTGGACCACTTTGCTGCTTCATAGCTGTGTGGCCTTGGCTCAAGTCCTTAAACCCTCAGAGCTTCAACTTCCTTGCTAATAAAGAGGAGTTGCTACTTTCACCTACACAAGAGGAAGTCAGCCTTGTGGATTATATGAGACAAGGCAAAGCACTTAGGATTGATGTTTGATGAACTGAAGATTCTATAATTCTAGTCTACTAATTAAGCATAATTGACTGAAGAATCACTACAGGGAATGCTTTCAAAGACCCAAGTATCACTGAGTGTCTGACTCCTCAGAGGTGACTAGCTATAAATCCAGAGGCTGGACTAATCTCCACCATGGCCCAAGAGACAGTAAATGGGAAGCAGAGCAGCAGAAGTCTGTTTGTCATTCTCCTGTGTAAGGTGGTTAAGATGATGGGACTCTGCCTGCCAAAGGAGCAGTCCACATACCTGAGACCCCCAAGAAGTGGCCTCTGTCTCTTGGTGGTGGTGGCTCTGGGTAATGCGAATGTGTGGGTGCAGGAGGGAGACTTTCCTCTCCTTTGCTGAACACTGGGCCCTCTTTGGCAGGCCCACTCAACATGGACCTCCCCAAACAGGCCTACCTGTCCCCAGGAGCTTGTCTCTCCTTTAAGGCCCCCTCACTGAGACCCACACAACTGTTCCTGCAAAACAGGGGGTCCCAACCACTCACCTCAAGGTATGCCGCCAACCTGGAGGATCTTCACACTGCATCCACCCCTGCACACAGCTTAAAGACACCACAGGTACCCCATACCTTCAGCCCCAGAACCCTAAACTCATGGGTCACCCCTCCAGCCCTCCAGAGGTAGATGCTCATCCTGGGTGAGCCTGCCTACAATGTGGCAGCTCCTGTCACCAGGGAGCACCCCTCCAAGAACCATTGCCCCCACCCAAGTTGGCTGTGCCTTCCCAGATGTGCGTCCTGCACCTACCTTCTTCCTCAAGATCAGCGGTAGCTTCAATACTCTGCAGCAGCTTCTGCCTTATGCCGGGTCTTCATCTCTAGGGGACAAGCCGGTGGGCATGGGTGACCACATGGTAGAAGCATTCTGGGCTGTCCACTCCCCAGCCCACCTGGACCTTCCTTACCTGAGGGAGCAGCAGCCCTGGCTCTCACAGCATCCTTTGAACAGAAAGGGATGGGGGACCCTTGCGAATATGTGCCTGGTAAGGGCAGTGTGTTTGGTCTGCTACAACTCAGGTGGGCATGGGTAGAGCCAGGGACTGCCAAGTTCTGAACTCAGAGCCAGGTGCCTCCCACTACAGTTGAACCATTCACTAGGAGGGCACCATCACCTAAGATCAGCTTGGAAAGTGTTGGAAAATTTTCCTGGAGACAAAAGCCTTCCTCAGGACCTGAGGATCTCCTCACCTGATCCACGCTGCCCTCACATGGACTCATACCAGCATCACAGAGCAATGGTGCAGTAGCTTAACCACAAGAGGACTCTGCTTCCTGCAGTGTCACTTCAGGCCCTCTACTGAGGAAGCCGACATCATGCACTGTGTAAATGGGAAATGGTGTAAAAGCCAGGCTATGGTGGAGGAGCAAACACTGAAGGAAGGAAGGAAATAAAATCAGAGCCAATATTAATGGACCTGACAACAAACATAACAACACTAAGGACCAATGAAACAGTTGTTTCTTTAAAAAGGTAAACAAGATTGATAAGCCCCCATGCTAAAGTAACCAAGAGAAAAGGAGAGAAAAGCCAAGTTTATAAAATTAGAGATTAAAAAGGTGAAATCACCATAGATATCAGAGAAATCCAGTGGATCATTAGAGACTATTTTGAAAATTTGTACTCCAATACATTGGAAAACCTAGAAGAAATGAATACATTTCTAGATAAATAGCATCTACCAAAAGTGAATCCAGAGCAAAAGAAAACCCAAACATACCAATGACTTGTAATAAGATGGAAGGCTTTGCATTACTGTCTCTAACAAAGAAAAACTCAGGGCTGGATGGACTCCCAGCTGAGGTCTACCAAAAACCTTTGAAGAAGAAGTGATGCCAAAACTCCTCAGATTACCCCATGAAATACAAAGGGATGGAACACATTCTAAATTTATAAAGCCAGCATCGCACACATACCCAAACCAGATAAGGACATATCAAGGAAAAAAACCTACACATCAACATCCCCAAAGAACTCAGATGCACAAATATTGGATGTACGTTTTCTCTGATATGCAAAAAAATAAAGAACAAAAAGGAAAGGAAATGTGGGAAAGATGAGTAGAGAAAAGGGACCAAGTGGTAGGGGTAGCATAGCTGAGCCATACTGCATCAGTAAAAATATGGGGAAAATGATAAAGATCACTAGGAAATCTGGATACTAACCCCAACAACTGAGACAACCAGTCATTAAGGGAATGGAACAGCTCTCAAAAACGGAGAGGTATCACGTTTCACATAAAACCACTGTTTGCTTGTTTTGGGGGGTGGAGAGAGAGGGGACTTGTCAATTAGCCTACCCTTTAATATAGAAAAAATGCCACAAGATATTTGTTTGATGACATCGGAGGAAGACCTAAAAGAAACACCAACACAAGTCTTCACAGGTGTCAGCCTTCTGAGGCAGGCAACATGGCTCTCAGTAAATTAAGTGTCCTGGTAGAAATGTGAAGTGATCCAAATCAAGCTAAAGGAGAGCTGGAATCCTAGAAGTGATGACCCAACCAACAGCTGCTCCTGGATACTACATTCCCCCACCCCCACTTTTGTTAGTAGTTATGACCGTTTAATTTTCCCTCATGAAATTTATAAAATAGGTGCAGAATAACCATCTTAGTGTATTCTACTGTGATTAAGTTTTTTGTTCACACAGAAAACACTCTACTACCATCCCAATTCCACAAAGTGGGAAGATGTGCTCAGGGGACACTCTTCCTCTGTCAAAGCAGAATGACACCAATGCCTCAAGAATATGTTACACCCTTGAAGTATTTTTTCCCTAGGTTCCAAAAAAAGTGAGTTTTCTTTTCTTGTTCTTCCTGGCCCAGGTGTTCTGATGCCAGGCCTGCACTCTCTTTTAAGATGTTTGTGATGGTGATTGACCCAAGACTCACAAACTGCACAAAAGATCAAAAAGAAGAGGCCACCTCAGAAAGGGCAAAGTGTGGGCAGTGGGACCCCTAGTCGATGTGACAGATGATGCAGACCCTTCAAGACCAAGGAAGTGGGTGACAGGTGGCAGCTCGTACAGCAAGTGTGAGTCTTCCATTTACACTTATAGTTGGGGCACTAGATCAGGGGCCAGCATCCCTTCAACTCAAGAAATATTTTGAATAGGCCAGAAAAGGGGATGCTTTATTTTGCAAGAATGCATCTATAGGCCAAGGCACATGGTCTCCTTTGGAGTGATGGTTGCATTCCACATCTTTGGGGAGCCCAATCTACTCGGTGGAGAGTCCCACAAAAGTCATGTAGTGTACTAATACATGAGGTGGATCTCTCACCCATTCAGCTTCTCCTGTCAGTAGCCATCTGGCTCCATTACCTACTCCATTGCCTTTGTCTGGAGTGGTGTCGAATCCTTCTCTTTCTAGAAGAGACATATTTTCTCTTCTCAGCCTTGATTTTTAACATCTCAGGATTCTCCTGGTTAGAAGGGGGAAGGAGGCATTTTCGGTTGAGCATGGCAGCATTCCCCCCTGATCTGAGCCAGTTAGGAAACTGCTGCCAGGTACTTTGAATGGCTGCCTGAATTTTCCAAGTTAGTCAGTGGCCAGCAGAGGGAGCTCTCTGAAGTCCCAGCCATCTACCTGATGATGGAGATCAGAAACTGAGAGCCCAATCTGTAACCAGGTGGAAAGAAATCTGACCTGGATTGAGGGAGAGATAGAGAAGGTCAAGAGGAACAGTAATTGAACACATGAAAGCTTGGTATGTTCCATCTGGGGCTTGTCTCCTGAACAGACATGTGAGATTTGTAGAGGGGTTGTCAGCTAACCAGGGACTGTGGATTCCCAGGATGAGCAGGACAATCATCTTCTGGTGGTGTCCTTCCTCTTCAGATGTGGTGAATGAGGGTTAGAAATGTGTGAGTGAGTGGTTAGGAGAAACTCATGAGGGCCTGTCCACTTATCCATGAGTTGCACTTCTGATCTCTGGCTTTTCTATGTCTTAAGTAGGATTGAGTCTCCTGCCTAGAATGTATGAGAAGGGTCCTGAGGAGATGGGGTTGTCCTAGAAGAAGGAAATTCCTGCATGGAGGTCAGAATTAGTTTCAGCAGCTGTAAAGAATATTGAGTGCTGTCTTCATATTGTCAAAATGGAGAATGCATTCTTCTTAGTGAGGTCTGAATGATCTCATAAGGGTTCAACTGCAGCCCCATTCTGGGGACAGACAGGATGTGGAGCTGGGCAGTAGGTAATATCATTTCCCATATCAATCTAGTTTCCTGGCATAATTAGTCTTCAGTTATTTTGTGACACACACCATGGAATTGACTGCGTTCTTTGCCTTGTTCATCCATTGAAGGAATTTCACAGACACAAATAGTGAAAGGGTGAGGGCAAAGTGTCAGATTATACAAAAACAATATAAAGAAAGCAGAACTCCTGCATGGGTGTGGTCCCAAGAGAGGGTTGCCAATGAGTGGCAATTGTCTCAGGTTTTATAAGGATCTAAGGGTTAAGAAAATAAGCCTCCAGCCCACTCTTGGTAAGGCATTCAGGGACAATGTGCACTTCATGTGCCATTTCTTCCCCTCATGTTATGGTCACTGTGTTGAAGTTTATCCCTTTTTAACAGATGTCTCACCCTTTGTTTGAAACTCAGCCTTGCATCTGTGGTCTTTCTATTCTGTTCCACTGTCGTCTTTCTGTTAGGAGAAACTTGACCTTGGTGAGTGCAAGTCTCCTATCTGCCTACCCAGCTCTTTCCCTACCTACATTTTAGGGTGTGAGTCATATTTTGAGTGTTCCATGTTGATTGAGACTTCAGGCATCACACAGTCTCCAAAGAACTCCTCAAGATTTACTCAACTGGTGAATTACTTTGGAGACAAAGGTGAGAACATAATTACATTGAAGGAGTCACCTATACTCTCCCTGTGGAAGCTGTCTCCCAATAGTCGCCCTCAGGGTGCTTCTGAGCCCCTTTCCATTCAATTTTCTACCAGTCTTGGACATTTAGGTGAAGTTCATTGTCAATATTCAAAACAATATGGCCCTCAAATTGGGCCCACTATTGTTGGCAGCTCTTTCATTTTCAGTCTCTTTTGGACACAGAATTGGCATCTGAGTCACATCTTTTTTCTGTCATAAGCATTCCAATTCCTCAGAGGAGCAGTCTGGATAATTGCATACACATATCCGTTCCAAAATGAGATCTTAAGGGCCAAAACCAATGTCCATCAGTGCTCAAGAAAACCTCTTCTAGTGGTAGGCACTTCCCTACCAACTGCAGGAGGAAGTAGAGAGGCATGACCCACAGACCCTTCTGTCTACATCACACCACAGGAACACAAGAGGCTCCCCACTCTCTTCACAAACAGAGAACTCCATGCCTTCACACTGTGGAACTCAATGCCCAGGGTCAGTCCTCACTAGTCACAGCTAGAGATGCAACAGGGAATAGAGGCAATGGAGTGCATCTGGAGTGAAACTCAACACCACACACCAAACCGTCCTTAGCCGACTGCACCAGGAGAAGGCAGATGATAAGAATGGATCCAAAACAAGTGTGAGACACAACTGGGCATGGCAGTGCCTGCCTTTAATCCCAGAAGATGGGAGGCTGAGGTAGGAGGATTGAAATTTCAAAGCCAGCCCCTGTTGTAACACAGTGATGCCCTATTCAAATTGGTGATAGCTTCCCTCAAAATGAAAATGAAAAAAAGGGCTGAAGATGTGGCTGGCTCAGGGCTTAAGCTCCTCTGTGTTCCATCCTAGATTATAAATAAATAAATAAATAAATAAATAAATAAATAAATAAATAAATAGCAGAGACACATCCATCTCATCGGCAGTGCAAATTTAGCACAAATACAAGAAATTTCACAATACAAGGCAACCTGACACCTCCTACATTCTATAATGTTCTTGGCACAGATGCCAAATATTTGAACTTGCCAGACAAACTATGCAAAACATTAATCTTTTAAAAATATCAATGGAATCTGAGAGAATTCAGCTGAAAGATTGAAGGGGTTTAAGGCAGAACATGAACCCAGAGAGAGAATGTTTGAAAAAGAACCAGACTTAAACAATGAGTCACAATGGCCCCCAGAAGGAACTTTGGTTTGAAACCCTCACTGAATTGGACAATTTTGGTTGCTGGACAGGAAAGTGGGCAAAAACATTCAGGCTTTTTGAGAAATGATCCTGTCCTTCCCTCTACTCTCTGCTCTGCCCTCCTCTCTGTTCTATCTGTTCTCCTGCTCCAGTCTTCCTTGCTAGAAAAATCCCAAACTCCTTCCCATTGTTCTTCAACCTCTCTTTTCACATCCTCAGATCCACCCAAGCTGCTCTCAGCCCTACCTTACCTGTCTTCCCCCTCCCAATACACACCAATCTGCTCCTGCCACCCCTCTTACCCCTCCACCCCTCCTCCTGCCACCACAGCTCCTCCTCCCTCGCTCCATACAACTCCCTCTTCTCCTGCAGCCAAGGCTCCCCTGCCCACCTCTTCTACTGACACAACCTTTCCCCTGCCCCTCCATCCCTCTCACACCCCTCCTTCCTCCTC